TTTCTTCTAACACAATAACAATTACATCCACAATGTAGACATTTAAAGAGTTTAGTTTTTGGGGAGATTTATTATCTCTAAAGTTTCAATGTTTTTCTTTATATTAGTTTTGATATAATAATATTTTGATTTTTAGTATAAGTTTTTGTTATCTAATTTATCAACTATATGATTTGCAAATTGTAAGCTTCCGCATGACGCCCTAATCACCCTTCATAACCCAACAGACGATTGGAACATGTCAAAGGAACAAGTCCAACGATGCTAATTGACGAGTTTACAACACTGTTGTAGAATTAGAGTCGTACTAGAATTAGACTACTTATATTAATTAGGATTATATTACGACTAGGATTAGATTATGATTAGGATTATAGTACAACTAGGATTAGATTATTTATATTTGCATTATTATTATTATTATTATATAGTAGTAATAGGTATTGTAGTAGAACTCTAAGTATAATTAACTTAGGACTCTACGAATCTCTCATATATAAGGAGGTTGTAACTCAACATTATTTTTATCTATATAATCCTTGATTTCTCTAATCCTAGGCGTGAGATTTCTACATGGTATCAGAGCATAAAAGCTCTTCCGCTCTCTGAGTATTGATAAAAAAAAATAATCACCACACGTTAGAATTGCCATGACCCAATCTACCAATACTATGTCGACTTCCTCACTTCACCAACTTATTGATGTTTGCTCCATTAAATCTAAGTCAACAAACTACCTCATATGGAGGACACAAATATCCCAATTGATTCAGGTGATGAAACTAACGTATCTCATCTATGAACCAAGTAAAAGTACTTGTTCCACTAGATAGCCTACTGGAAAAGTTATAAGAGTTAAGAAGGATGCAAAAGATAATGGCACCATTGATGATTGGAAGGAGAAAGATGTGTTACTAAGGAGTTGGATCTCAAACACCTTGACCGAAGAAAACATGCACCTAATTGTGGGTTGCTCAACTGCCAAGGAGATGTGGAAATGCTTGGAAAAAGCTTATATTCAAGCAACAAAAATAATTAATTTTGCTAGAGGTTTAGGTCTCAAATACAAGACCTTTGTCATATTAGGTAAGACACCATATTCCACTCTTAATCAATTTATTAATGCTCTCACGAGTTTTGATATAAGAGAAGATGAAAAAAGGTGTCACAACAAAACCACAACATGGTATTACCTGCTCAAAAAGGCAGGGGAAGAGGAAACAACAACATCAACTCCAAAGAAACAGGTCTCAAGCCTGCTGGACAGGGAACATGTTCTCAGAACAATCAATATGGACCAGGTTCTCCGAACAATAAAAGTTTCCAAAGCGAAAATAAGGAGAAGAATAGTATTGAGTCATGTCAAATATGTGATAGGAATAATCATACTGCTCTTAAGTGTTTTTTACTGATGGAACTACTCGTATCAATCTACAAATGAACTATCACAAGTAACGACTAGACATCCCATTCATACCGAAGCATTGACAAAACAAGTTTTTGCTGAGTATTCAAAGTTTTTTTTTACTACGTATTTGAATCAAGCTAGGAGTAACCGTTCCTCTACTCACTAGCTTGAGGGGAAGTGTTGAAGACGAAGGAAGATGACGATTGGAACATGTCAAAGGAACAGGTCCAACGCAGCTGACCGATGTGTCTACAACAAGTGTTGATGAAGAAGAAAGCTGACGATTGGAACATGTCAAAGGAACAGGTCCAACGAAGTTGACTGACGAGTTTACAACACTGTTGTAGCATTAGAGTCGTACTAGGATTAGACTACTTATATTAATTAGGATTATATTATGATTATGATTAGATTATGATTAGGATTATAGTACAATTAGGATTAGATTATTTATATTTGCATTATTATTATTATTATATAGTAGTAATAGGTATTGTAGTAGGACTCTAAGTATAGTTAACTTAGGACTCTACAATTCTCTCCTATATAAGGAGGTTGTAACTCAACATTATTTTTATCTATACAATCCTTGATTTCTCTAATCCTAAGATTTCTACATATACGACATGTATTAAGTAAAATTGCATCTTATAAATACTTAAATAGTTATATCTACAAGCATAATCAAAAAGATATATTTGAGATACTCATAATAAGTAGTTTGATAAGAAGTCCATTTGAATAGTTGTTGTAGCTTGTTGATATATTTTTCTTTTCACTTTCTGCAAATGATGGAACAAACTCTGCAAAAATTATACTTAACAATCAAAGAAAAGAGAAATTGCTTAGAAATCATAACAATAAACGTCCATGCATAAGAAATCTTAAGAAGAGATCATAGTATCACCTAGAAGCATGTATAACCACTAATAAGTTTGTTGATACAATTATCTAATAAAAATAATAATTAGAATTACCTGATGAAAAATAGAATCATGAGTTTTTCACCTAGCACATGGGGTTGTTGGAGCTTTGTTCCTAAATTTATACTACCATTTTATTGAGACCCTAGAATTTGAAGAGGTGCAACATTTAATATCTTTTAATAAATATTAATTAGTGTGAAGGAGAAGGAGATTGAAATCAGTTTTTCTGGAGAAAAAAATGGTGCAACACTAAATGTTTACTATTTAATACTAATATAACATCAATACCTATTAATAAATATAAATGTTAATTATAGGGAAGGAGAAAGAGTTTTTTTTTTTTCGCTAGAAACTTTTGGGCAACATTAATGGTTAGTTATTGGTTTTTTTTTTTAGCAACTTTCACATATAGCAAACATAAAAATCATATTTGTATCTTATAGCTATAGTTTGCATAATTACGCTCCATAGCAAATTTTTTGTTTGCTATGGAATTATTAATATGTATATTTCAGGATTCATTCGAAGCTATATACAATTTTATTTTCTAAATAAATTTAATAAAAGACTGTAAATTCTGTTAAAAAAAGGAAGACAATCACTAAACTCACGCAAAAAGATCTCTTTCCTTCTACGACTTCTTCATCAGTAGTGACTCCATTGTAACTGAGTACACGTTTACCTAGAAATTTAACACCTTGAAAAATAATACATATACAGTTTTACTCAAATATACATATATACATAACTATGACATGCTGTGTATAAATATGACACAAATACAGTTAGTGAATTGTATAAAATAAGATTTAATTCAATTTATCCTATACAAGTTTTATAAATAAGATAATACATTATATGACACATTTCAATTGTATAATCATTTATATTGTATATATAGTGAGATTATTGTACTTCTATTAATGGAGAAAGCTTGTATATTAAATCTAATGGCTAAAAAAATACAGATATGTATAAATAAACATATAAAAAAGTACATATAGTCATTTTGTATAACACTAATTTTATCTGAATATAACATAAACATGTTTTATGTGGATATTATATATTATACAAAACATTTCAATTGTATAATTGTTTAATATTGTATATATGGTAAAATTGTTATAATAACTACCGCTATTTATACAATAAGTTTGTATAAACAAACAAATATAGGGCAAAAATTTACAGAGACTAATATATAAGTGAAAAATCTGTATGGATTATGATTTCATATAAAAGATAAAGAAATAAGAGAAAAATTGGAAAAAAAAAATTGATTTAGAGGTTTTGGCGGTACCTGAAATTTTTGAAATCCTGTAGTAGTGAAGATTTGAAATTTAAACTAATTTTGTGGAGAGAATTTAGGAGAAATTGAAGGGTATAGGAGATAGGAAAGAGATGTGAATTGTATAAAGGAAATGACTTCCGTTTTTTTTTTAATTTGTGGGACCCGTCAGTAACAAGATATGCGAAACTGTAGCTACTCAAAGAAAATAAATTAAACAGTAGCTATATTATTTATTTTCAATTAATAGTTTGTCATTATGCACAATTTTTCCTCTTTTTTTTTCAAAAGTTAATGGCGAGCAACTGATTACTAAAGCATAAATGTTAGTTTTATGTTTTTTCTTTAACGAGGAAATAATTAAATATAAAGCCATAATATTTTATGTATTTTAAAATGAGGAAAAATTCCAAAAAATTAAAAAAAAGAGAAATAGGATTTGAGGCCTTAGAGAGCGCCACATCATTGTTTTTATGTTTCAGCTTTATATATATATATATATATATATATATATATATATATATATATGATATGATTTCTTCGGGCCCATTTTATATGAGTTAATATGACTTGACACGAAATTTAAAAGACAAAAAATATTTTTTGAAACTTGTGGTTTAATAAGTTACAGATATTTGTATAGATATAAATCATTTTATTAAAGGTAAAATAGACATTTTGAAATTAAATTGTTACTAAGTATAGAAATATGTCATTCATTTTTTTTGGGATTGGGGTAGAAGGAGTAGTAAAACTCCGTTTATTCACCGATTGTGAATTTGTGATACAATACAAAAATGATCTTTAACGACAATAACTTAATTATCACTAGATATGTTTCTTAGAGGCAATTAACACTTTTTACAAATGTCGCTAAATCTTATAACGACATTGATTTCTATGACACAATTAGTTAATACTAGTAAAAAAATTAGCACTCTTAGTTAATGTGCATATTTATTATCGCTAAAAATTGTTTTTGTTGTATTCTTCTATCTTTGTACATAGGTTTTGTTCAACCTATTGGAATGAAAAAAAACTTCTATTAGGAGTGTCACCTCTAGAAATGAACCTTGTAATGCATAATTAATTCAAATTTAATCAGACTCTAATAATACGATCGAGCGGAAAAAGAAAATCACAAGGAAAGTGGACCCTCTCCTAGACCAAGTTGTCTAATTTTCCATTTGCCAGTGGTCCCTCATAACATGGAGCAATTTATGCCACTTTTCCCCACTATAAATTTCTCACTTCCTCCCTTCCCAATTTCCCACTCTTTTTTCCTCTCTTTTCCCCTCAAAATACCTATAAAAAAACAAAACCAAAAGGGAAAATTCTCGCCTCAAAAAAAAAAAAAAAAACACTGAACTTTTTTTGTGTGATTTTTTTCAATGGACATAGAGTTAGCAAAGTGTGAATGTTGTGGACTAAAAGAAGATTGTACACAAGACTACATTAGTCAAGTTAAAGAAAATTTTGATGGAAAATGGCTATGTGGACTTTGTTCAGAAGCAGTTAGAGATGAAGTTAACAGAGGAAAACAACAATTTCTTTGTATGGAAGATGCTGTTAAAGCACATATGTCATTTTGTAGAAAATATAAATCAAATCCAGCAATTAAAGTAGCTGATGGAATGAGACAAATGTTAAGAAGAAGGTCTGATTTAACATCATCATCATCAAATTCATCTAATTCCAAGAAGTATTCAAGATCAACAAGTTCTATCTCCTATTATTAATTACGTTTGTTTCAATCTCAAACAAGTTGGAATCGACTATATGAATGACCTGGGAAAAAAAGGGTAACTTCAACTTTTGGTGGAAATAAAAAGGTCTAACAACAAGTTTTTTTTTTTTTTTTTTTGTCTCATGGAGAAATCTTTTCTTGATTTCCAATTTTCCATCTTGTCTTGTATAGAGGATGTTTGTTTTTTTCAATCTACTAGTGAAGATAATTTTTTTGTTTTGTTATATGGTTATGTTCTACTTATTACTTTTCCTCAACCATCACTATGAGATTTTCAACTAACAATAATAATTACGTCTCATATACGAATAAATTAAAATTGGCTATATTAATCTTGACTTTTTATTTAAACTCATTTTATATCATTAGAATTGATATCCAATGGAAAGAAAATATATGTTTTTTTCTCCATTTTCTTCCTACAATAATGGAGTTTTTTTAATCAAGCTTGACAAAATTTTCTCCCTCTTTTTTGATAAAAGTAGGAAAAAAAGTTGATTTTATTTTCTTCATTGAGTTGAATAAAAAATTTTCTCCCTCTTTTTCTTGTATTAGGACTTATCTCAAACTCTTTTTACCTTTAATTTTTTTTTTGGTGCATTAAAAAATATTTAATAGAATAGTATATCAAACTCGTTTATAAGCTACATTAATAAAATCTGCCATGAGAAAAAACTTCATATTCTTGATCGACTAGTCCTATATTAGATAATAATGATCATTCTGAAAGGTCAAAAAAATTATAAATTTCATCTTTAAAGCCAGAAGCTTATTTTTTGAACTCCTAATTTTTTTAAATTTATTTTTTACCTTTTTATTTTTTAATTGATTGATTTTTGAAAAGCACTCAAACAACTAGGAAGATCCCAATGCAGATATGTTCATAATTTTAATATTTAAGGTCAACTTCCCACTAAACATAAAGATTATTATAGGAATCATTTCATATGCTTCAATAACTTTATGTCTAAGATGCATTCATTAAAAAAGTTCAAAACCTTTTTAACACAAATATTTCTGTTTCATACTTAGAGAAGTTTAAATTATTTTGATTAAACACTTATATTTTTTAAATCAATTATGATTAAACACTTAATTGTCTGATCCAGCAGATTATATTAAGCTAAATTTGTTGACCTATTATTAATTCAAGTTTTTAATTTATATTAAGGATGATTCATCACAATGCCCTGTGCATGTAAATAAAGTAGAATTAGTTCACCAACTATTTTAACAATTAAAGGAAATGGTTTATACAACTCAACTAACACATGACTTGATTTCATTAACATTTTTTAACACTTTTTTATTATCGGGGATTGTTGAAATTAAAGAGAATAGTGAAAATTGAACACATAATTTACTTATTGTGCGAAAGATTTTTGCAGATACAACTGAACTCACTACTAAAATTATGTGAATTTTTTACGGATATTCATATTGAGTCATCATGTTTTCTATAATCCATTATTCGAGGGATTCAATTGAAAATTTGCGTTATATTATGTGAAGGTAAGATTATTTGGTGGTCAATTAATACATGATTTGATTTTTGATGATTTAGGAAAATATAATTAAGTTGATAGCTTTTATGATTTTTCTTGTTTTTAATAATGGCATGCACATTTTAAATTGCCCCATGATCATGGAGCTAATTCCTATGGTGAAAGTATTGAAAGCAAAAATATGACAAAAAAAGAAAAAAAAATCAGCCATTTTTTTAAAGCTATTTCAATAGGTTTATGAGGTGTCAAAATAATACACCTTAGAGTGTAGACTATTGGCATCTTAAATTCCAAGTAATCTCACTCCAGTCAAGCCAAGATTAATGGAATTGGATAATTTCCATTCTACTTAATATTTTGTACATATATTCTGGCAGAGCCATAATTTAGCAAGGGGTGTCAATCACAATATAGTTGTTCTTATCGAGGATATGATCTTAGATAGAAAATTGTTGAGGATACAAATTAGGGTAAAATGATAGTTGGTAGCATTGGATTGTCTTGTATCAGTCCTTACTAGTATATAGATATAGTATTACTCATGTAGTTTCTTATCCTTTGGTTATTATTTGTTGTTTCTTTTACTTTAACTATCATATTATTTTGTTGTAGTTACTGTCTTGTTACAATGTTTTGTTCTTGTTACTATGTGTTATTTGTTGTATATTTGGTTACTTCTTTTTCTGGGTTGCTTTAGACTATTTTTCTCCTTGAGCTGATGGTCTATTGAAAATAGTATCTCTACTTCTGAGATATAGATAAAAACAATGTATATTCTACCTTCTCTAAATTTCACTTTGTGAGATTAAACTCAATATATATATGTTATTGTTGTTGTTGTCGTCGTCATTCAACGTCTCTTTGTAAATTATTAATAATATTTTTTTTTTGTGAAAATCAATATATTTTGATACAATGTGCCAACAATGCTTTAAAACAATATATAAATTTAAAACAGTAACCAAAACCTGAAATTACCCTACTAAACCTAAACTCACTTATAAAAGACCGGACCGATTCTTTAGGTATTGTTTAAAAGGTTTAGACTAAAGTCATTGCGCTCCTATCACCTGTTGACAAAGTAGACTGATGAAAATCCTCCAATTATGACCTACCGCTATGGTGTGGGTCATCAAAGGTTGTTACGAATGTTATTCCATCCATGACTAACTCGAAATAGTTTGATAGTGTTTCAAAAAAATCTTATGTACATCGTTGTATAAACCATATATAGAGCATGATGGTACACTACATATGGAGCATAAAATCACCACAAAATTTGCAAAATTTAAATTAAGATTGGACATCCATTATTGTTGTGATGATACAGTAGGTGTTCATTCGATTCAACACCCGATCAATCAAATCTATCCTTCATTTCGATTGAGAGGCCTCTAATAACCAAGTCCAAGTTTAAAGGGTATATTGTTGTGCCATGAATCTTAAAAAACAATCTCATCTTATGGTCATGCGCTTCTTCAAATTAGAAAACAAAATAATATATATAAAAAAAACTTCACTCTGAAAAATTAATAGACAAGCAGAATCTATGACAACTTAATATTTAGATTTAGTGGCCCCTAATAATAAGCTCTTTTTTGTGGAGGACTTGATGTATGGTCCCAATTGTTAATTTTTTTGTTCCTCAAGTACAAAGCAAGATAAATTGATATACCTAAATGTTAAAAGTCAAATAAAAAAATGAAGCATGGGGACTGAACATATCTTTTGAAAATTTATCACATGACATCATTTGTGTTTAATAATATTATAGGCTTTCACTTCAACACGTCTTATAGATCGCCTAGACGTTCATTATAGTCCATCTCCCATTAATAAGTGTGTACCCTCAAGACATCGACCATACGCTAATGCATAGATTTTCTCACACGAAAATCTACAATAAATTTCATTATTGATTAGTATTGACACAATGTATAGAAAAATAAGTCCCACGTGATAAATCATAGTGAAGAGTGGCGTACAATTAATTTTGAACTAATAACTAGTCCATCAATTGAGGTGTTTTTGTATTGTCCACTAATTTAAATTGGAGAAATTCTTGATTAGGTATATATATGCTAGGATTTGATGTAATCAAGTCATTTGGGTTCCTAAATATAGGAAAGGCAAACTGTAGGTGGGGGCCTAATATGCCAAATGGTAGTTGTTTGGTATGTTGTTAATTATATGCTTTAATTAGATGCAAAGATTGATTGATTATCTTTTAATAGGCTAAATCATTGTCTCAAGAAAAGAATATTGTTTATAAATTAATACAATTTGGTAAAAGTCATAAACCAAAAGGGAGTTATATAATCCAAGTTTTGGATATCTGGAAACCAATTAGACAAACATCTCAAACTATATATTTGTTTACTTTTACGTATTAACAAGGCGGTCACAACTCACATATTTAAACTATAGAAACAATCTTTTGCAATAATGCAGGATTATGTATAATAAACCCTTATGGCCTGATCCTTTCCTGACCAATGTGCATAGGGGAGCTTAGTGCAGTCCTATTGGCATGAGAATACTCCTATTTATGATGCATCATTCCCATAAGATATGGTAGATAAATAGGAGTTAGTCATAAGAAAACACATGCATTTTATTATTTATAAATAACTAATAATATTTGAGACAAGAATTTCCATAAAATCACATGATGGCCAGTCGAATTGCAGTCTTTTGATCACCAAATTTAAAGTGGTCGGAGTTGATTTTAACTGTCACTTTAGCTAAAAAATACCATCCCAAAATGTTACTTTAGATTTCACGATTAAAATTAACGATCATTTTATAATGTGTGAAAAAAGCTAAATCGATAGTTAAAAAGGGACGGAGAGTACTATATATTCAAATGCAAGGTTCAAAATCCACCATCCTCTTTGTTTTTCTTCCAAATATTCATGGCCACCCAATCATAAAAATATAATACAAATATTTAATGAAAGAAATAATAAAAATAAAAAGAATAAAGAATGCTATACATTGGAGACCATTTTGATTTTTAGTTTCATCCACATTGGACTCCATTCACCATCTAGATGAAAGACCAATGGTGGATGGTAGAAAGTTATAGAATATATATCCAATATTCACAAGTCACAACATTTTTAGATGCATCTTGAGGAAAAAATGGAGGCAGCTCAGCAATCATGTTATTTTACTTAAATAGGTTTGGAAAAAAAATGAATCTCATGTCTAACTCAATTTCAAAATCGACTATGCATGCAAGATTATATCATGAGTCTATTGTTTCCATTCAACAAAAGATATGAGATTCAACACTCCCTCTCCCCCATACGCCCAAAACTCCGATATCATGATAAAAAAAATGAACTTTGCACTTATATAAAGCCACTTGAAATTCTTAGACGGAAGTTAGAGGCCACAGGGAGTCTCGAAACAAAAATCTTAAGTGAAAAGTTTTATTATTAGAAAGTTTTGATATAATTGTTTATGGCCTAATTTGGAATGATTATTTCTCTCAATATATAAGGAGTTAGAGAACCTGTTACATATCAAACGCATGTCTAAGAGTCTAGTTTCCAACGCATTAAATTATTCGTCAATTCGACATCAGGGTGAAGAGTTATGATCGTTTTACCACAAATTATCCTAACAAATTGGTCATGGATTTGAGTGGAGTTTGACCAGCTTTAAAAAGAACTTCTGGACTTCAAGAAGGATAATTTTCTTAAAGCAAAGACATCTAGCCGTCATTGAAGCCCATAAACGAAGTGGGATTCCCATCAAGCAGGTACAGATATTGTTTATATATGGTTAATTATTACTATTATTTTTGATTATTTTTATGGACAAGATAATACGTTGCTAATTAAGTGAAATGGGAGGAGCCGGATCCAACATCTTAAATCTTATACAATCAATGTATATAATTTTTTAAATCTTTACCAAATAAATGACATGATATGTAAGGGGTAAATGTGTCATTACCACATCCCCAAATATTCTTCATAGGATATGACCGTTGCATTCAAATTTCAAACCCCATTTATCCTCTTCCCTTAAACAACAAAGAAACCCCAGATTTTGGGTATTTTCATAGCTCAAAATACCATGAAATCAACACAAGTTTCAACTCCAAATTCCTCCGTGAAATCATCGTCGACCACCACCGTCATGGATTCCGAGACGAAAGACAGCTACTATTTCCCGGGATGTCGAAAAGATACCAATTGCAGTTGCGAAATTTGTATAGCCAGTTTCAATGCAACTCTCGATCTGATGACTAACAGCATGCACAAGAGTTCAATCACAAAACTTTCAGCGGCTAGAGCTCTTCAATTTCCAAGAATCCCCATTTCTTACACCCCATCGAGGACTTTTTCGACCCCCAAATCGAGTAGCAACAGTTCTGCTTCTTCGTCCATGTCCCCTCCGCTCAATTCCACTGCTAGAGGGAGCTTTCATGAGAAGGTGAAGAGGAGGAAGAGAGGATTTGGTTTTGGGGTTTTCTTGATGAGATTGATTTTTGGATTGGGTGTTGTTTTAGGGTTGGAATTTGGGTTTTCTTCGGTGGTTTCTGGGTTCTTGCAGCCTCAATTGTCGCAACAAATTGTTAAGAATTTGAGTGAAAAATCATGGGGTTTGAAGGATTTTGATGAAAGATTGATGTTCTTTAAGAAGGAGCTTGAAGGTCTGATTGATGACGAAGAAATATCGAGTTGCAGCCGTCTGAATTCTACTTGGAAAATCAACCAGGTATAGATTTCATTAATGCTATGCATATTTTTGCTACATGTCTGGGGATACCAATATTAAGTAGATTTTTCGACTGATTTATAGGATGGTTTGCTTCTGAATTCGCGATGTACATTGTACAAGTCCAATTCAGAAGAGTTGAGTATATGGGGATGGCCTTTACAAACAGCTGGTTTGCTCACAGCTGGATTTTCTGCGCGATCATATACCATATTATCAGGAAGACTCACTGAGGTAACATAATTTCGACAGTGTTCTTTTTCTGTCCTCTCATTTCTTTCGAGTTTACTTCATCAAGTTAAGGTTTTGTTGCTGTTTTCATCTTCATTTTGAACAGTGGTCCAATGGTGAGATTGGTTACTTGATTAGAAAGTCGAATAGTTCATGGACTCAACAAAAATGGAGTGCTTCTGCTGTGCAAATGGACCCGAATACATGGATGTTAGAGTACAGTCAAAGTCCTTTAACTGAAAATGGAAAATTGGTTTCAGCTGTGTTGGAGTTTTTAAAGTTCAGGCTGGGAAGAGAAGTTCAAAAGTTGAAACAAGAGTTCTGGCTGTCGTCTTCTTTCACGAGCCAGCAGAGTGATTTCACAATAGAGAGGCTCCAGATTCCAACCTAAATAGAACTTATGAGATAAAGCATTCTCATCCCTCATGAGAGCTCCCGGTTTAAGCTCTATATGTTTGTTCTTCTGTGAACGTTGAGAATTCAATATTAGCATCTTTTGGTACTACGTTGTTCTACGTTTCAACTGTAAATACTATATCCCCTGTAGTCAGAAATGTTCTGCCTGCACTTATTCGATGAAATTGAATGCTAAAGAGAAACGAGGACATATGATACAATGTAACATACGGTTGATTCTGTTTCACAAATTGCTGTCACCAGTAGTCTTTACAAGAACAAGAGCCGCCTCTGTAATGGTGAAATCTAGTTCTATCTCTTACAACAATTTCTCTCTCAAACACTTTAGATGCCAACTTCATAAAGTTATGGCAATCCTCACAGATCCTTAAGTTCTTAATTATATGGATTGGTGATCCCCTATTACTACTTTTCAGTAATCCGTAACAAAGAGCCAGCTTCTCACTGTGCAAAAGAACCACATCCTTCTTCTCGTCCTCATCTACATCAATTAAAACAACACTGGTGTTTGGGGCATAACCGACCTGCATCAACTTGCAAACCACTTCATCTAGCTTTGCGTAGATGTCATCAGCATGTTTATGACTCTTATCAGCCGTTAAAAATTCGTGTATCTCATGGTCCATTTCAATCTTACTGTGTCCCCGTTCCTTCAGTATGCCTTTGTGTTTCATAAGTTGTCTCACCTCCCCAACATTTTCCCATCTTTTTCCTTTTGCATAAAAGTTTGATAAGAAGACATAAGCCCCATCATGTTCAGGATCTAACTCGAGGAGCCTTTTAGCTGCAAATTCTCCTAGTTCAAACTCACCATGGATCCGACAAGCAGCCATTAGTGAACCCCAAATGACAACATTTGGTGCCATAGGCATAGTCTCTACCAGCTCTAGGGCTTCTCTGAGACGATTTGCTCGGCCATAAAGGTCCACCATGCAACCATAGTGTTCAAGTTTAGGTGTGATATTGTACTCATTCATCATTGATGAGAAGATATGTTGTCCCTCGTCAACTAGTCCAGCATGGCTACAAGCATATAGAACAGCCACAAACGTAATCCAATTGGGCTCTTTCATTTGCCGAAAAAGCATCAAGGCCTGATCAGCCTCTCCATGAATGGCATACGCGCTAATCATACTAGTCCACGAAATAACATTTTTCCTTCGCATTCGACCAAAAACTCCTCTTGCTCCGTCTAGATACCCACATTTGGCATACATATCAATTAGGGCATTATTTACAGGCAAAGCTTCTCGAAATCTATACTTATCAACAATCATATGGATTCTTTTTGCTTGATCCAATGCACCGAGATTAGCACAGGCTGAGATAACACTTAACATAGTTACTTGGTCAGGCTTCACTCCAGATGCCTGCATTTCGTCAAGTAACTTCAGACCTTCTTGTGGTTGGTCACTCTCTGCATAGCCAGATATCATTGCACTCCAACAAACCAAGTCCTTATTTGTTATTTGATCAAAAATAGAGCGTGCAGCTTCAACTTGCCCAGCCTTTGAATACCCTGAAATCATGGCAGTCGATACCACCAAATTCTTTTGTGACAGTTTGTCATACAAACTCTGAGCGAAATCCATGCAGCCACAACCTGAATACATGCTGATAAGAGAACTTTGCAGACGAGAATCAGCAATGATATTATTCTCTGATATTAACTCATGAATCACTTTCCCAATGGCTAAGTTTCCAGTTTTACCACAAGCAGATAGAATGGTTGTGAAAACTCTCGAGTCGGGTTCCACATTAGAGCTCCTCATCTCTTCCAACAGCACCAATACATCATCAAAAAGGCCATTCTGACAGTAACTGTGAAACACATAGCAAAAAGGTCAGCAAGCTATAAATAAGAAACTTAATAGACATCTTTGAAAATTCATCAACTAAAAATGATTCAACAACAGCAACAAAATTCTTCAACTTTTGTAGTAATTGAATGGATAACAGCATACCCATCAATCATTATATCCCAAGCGACAATATCTCTTTCAGACATTTTATCAAACACCAACCGCGCATCTTGAATATGCCCACAATTAGCATACATCCCAAGCAGAGCAGTCTGAATAAACGGGTCAGAATCAAACCCAAGCTTACAACCCAATCCATGAATCTCCATCCCTTCACGCAATGCAAAAGCCCTCGACGCAGCTTTCAGCAATGGCGGGAAGCTAAACCTGTCAACTTCCAACCCATTTCTTCTACCATTCTCCAAAAACAATAACGCATTATGGGGTTCCTTAGAACGTGAAAGTTCACGAAATAGCTTGTTGATGAGATGGGTTCGTGGGTTTTGCAAAGTGGAGAAGACAGAAAGCGAATAGTGAAGGCTTGAAGGTAAAGGAATTGAAGAAAGAATGAGGTTGAAAAGGAGAGAATCGGAATCAGAATCGGACAAGTTTTGACGGAGGATTTGGGTGTGGACTTGTTTGAGCTGAGGGAGAGAAGTGGCTTTGGAGATGGAGGTAGATAGGTGCAGGTGGGTGGTGGGTGGGGTGGTGAAGGGGGTGATGGGGTGGGTCATTATAGCCATGGCATGTGGTGGGGAAGAAGAGCAAAGGAGCTTGGGAAGCTCTACAATGGAGACTTTGGAGTGTTTGATATACTGATTTTCATTGGAGGGAATGTGGGCTCTGCATTTTGGAAAAAATATTCTTGTGAATTTAAAAAATGATTTTCTTGAGGGGAATGTCTAACCTCTATGTTTTGCATAAGTAGAAGTAATGTATGCGTATATTCATACTTTTCTAGATTTCAGTTGTGACGGAATATAATGAGTATATATATATGTTGGATGTGTCAAATGTATCCATGATGATACAAAATATAGTTTTTATAGAGTTGAATATCTTTTCAATTCAAGAAATGCTAAAACTATTTATAGATGGAAGGAGAACTTAGGATAAAGAGAAACTCGCAAGTACTATATTTGAGTCCCAAAACTAAAAGATGTGACTTTAGAAATAGATTTAGAAAACAATAATCTCCTATATATAGTTTTTTTTTCGACCGTGGTCATTTTGTCCATGATCCATTGGATAGTCGATGGAAGACCCATTTGAAGCACGGTCTTTCCTTTTATGTCCATGTTGATACGAATGCAAAGAACCCGACCAAACTTCCTCAACCATAATTGAAGATATTGGGTCTAAAGAAGTCGTTCAAATTTGTTATCGATTATGTATCAATAAATAAATATTTTTAAAAATAAATTGATTAAGTAAAAATATAAGCGTTCTACGAGATAATTGACAATTGAGTCAATCTGAGCACATATATTAATAAATTCAATTTTATACAAATTTAAAATCTATTTATGCGCACCCAAAATTGAACCTGAAATTAAATCAAATTAAAAAATAATAATATATGTTTATGTATTATGTCATTTGTCATTTTAAAATGATTTTTATGGTACCAAAGAGTTGTACTTGTTGACCCGATTTGTATTCGGATCCCTGATGACGTTCCGGATGTCATAAGAACCATTATACCCACCTTTGATCGGATCATACCCTGAAATTAGGCGCAGCAATGGCAGACTCGCTCATTGAATTGAATGAACTTCTCATCTCCAGAAAGGTTTGATTTTTTCTGACCCCAAATGTTTCTTATTGAAATGGGTACCCAATTTTCTCTTCTTTCTTTTTTCTAATCAATTAGGTGATTTCATTTATTCTATGTTATCTTTGTATTCAAAAATTTGGGTGAATGATCAAATACACTACTAAAGAATTGATTTTTTCAGCTTTATACTGAACTATAGGTGTGTAAGTTTCATATTTGGAATATGAACAATTGATAATTGAGGTGCCTTTTGATAAATAGTTGGTGGTAGTTCAACTTGATAACTCGCACACCTGGTAGTTTAAGTATAAAACATGGAAAAGGGGATATTTATGTGTGTTTTTATCATTAACTCAAATTTTTGTTGTTGTAAATTTCAGTATCCCTTTGAAGATATAATATGCTTATTAAAATTCATAGGTTAATTTGACAACTGAAGAAAGTAAACTACTAAATTCATGGAAGCAATCTGCTGTAAGAGATTTTGGCATTGGTGCAATTGGTGCTTCCCTTGCCACTTGGTTAGGTACAATTCCTACGTATACTTGTCAAATTTGTTTGTATCGTTGGATAATTCTTCCTTAATATTAGTCAATTTTTATATTTTTAGATATATATACTGTTCTTTTTTCACTTCAGAAGAGAGTGAAGTTATTAATCGGGCCAAAATCTTTAGTTTTATCGAAATCCATTCAAGAACCGAAACACAATGATGATGGTTATGAAAGTATGAAACTACCTGTTAAGATTTTGGACTTTATTTCCGTCTTCTCTTGTTTATAAATTTGATGTGGCTTCTCTCAGCAATGATGATTAGTCCAAGAAGATCCCAAACAAGAAAAAGGTTAAACCTTGACATTGTAATGAGATTGTAGAGCCTTCACTTGAGTTGTGTTCAAACGTTGAGGTTGAAAATGAATTTGTTCATGTTTTCTAGAAGTAAGGTCTTTCTGCCTGAAAATGGAGAAAGAGGGAAGACAAGTTTGAGATAGTGACTGGAGTAGTTGTTGTGGCAACGTAAAGGTAGATGATGCTGGAAGTACTGGTCTACCGGAAAATGGAGGAAGAGGGAAGATGAATTTGAGGGAGGTGACTGGTCGCTGGAGTAGTTGTAGTGGCGACAGAAAGCTAGAGGATGGTTGCAGTACTGGTTGCAAGGAGAAAATGAGTTCATTTTGATGATATTCAATTTATAAAAATGGGGGTTTACCACATTTTTCAATTTATAGGACTTCATATTAAATATATAAATGTCGTAAAGGAAATGAATGAAGAAGATGTCACTAGCGTGAAAATAGTATTAGGTGATACAGAGGAGTTTCCCTTAACAATAGGCTTAGACCAGGGATTGGCATTGAGCTCTCCTACTTGTTTACCCTAGTTATGGACAAACTAACCAACACAATACAAGATGAGGTCCTATGATGTATGTTATTTGTTGATGATATTGTGTTAATGGATGAAATTAGCAAGGGTATCGATCAAAAGTTTGAATTGTAGAAAGGCACCTTAGAAAGCAAGGGTTTTAGGATATGTAGTAGTAAGATCGAATACATGAATTGCAAGTTTAGTCAGCATGAGAAGAAAGAAGTTAAGTTCTCTAGGACAACTATAAGACCAACAATCTAGATATCTAGGCTCGCTGTTATCAAGAGAATTAATTGATAGATGAAGATGTTACTCATAGGATAAAACTAGATGTTTGAAATGGAGAAGTGCTACCGTTGTTTAATGCGATAGAAGGGTGCCTGTCAAAATGAAAGTTAAGTTCTATAGGACAACTATAAGACCAACAATATTATATGATAGTGAATGTTGGGCTGCTAAGGTCCAAGATGAGTGTTGTAGAGATGCAAATGTTAAGATAGATATGCGGTCATGCAAGATTAGTTAAGATTAAAAATGACCACTTTTGTCAGAAGGTGTAAGTACCACACATTGAGGATAAAATGCGAGAAGGTCGCTTGAGATGGTTTGAACATGTCTTGTGTGCGGCGACATACAGATGCATTGGTCCCTAGGTGTGAGACGATGGTAAGTGAAGGTGTTAAAAAGGGATGTGAAAGACCTAAAATCACATGGAGGAAAGTTGTCTCGAAAGATCTACAAATCCTTGGTATCAATGAAGACTTAGCTAAAGATACGACACAATGAAAGAAAAGATTCATATAGGTGGTATCTACAAGTTGAGAATAGGTATTAGACTTGTTAGAGAACTTCTAATATTGTTGTTATTATTATTATTATTATCTATCATATATCTTCAACTTATTTTTTGATGAAATGAAATGAGCTTAAATGAAGAAGTGGGGATTCAATTCATATAGTCGACCCTGACTTATTTGGGAATTGGGACTGAGGCAAGTTGTTGCCTCCATGTCAGCTGACTAATATTAAAATGGGTGAATAGATTGTTAATTTCACAAAGTTAGGGGGAAATATGGACTTTCCCGTTTTCTTATTTTCTACATGTCTCACTTACATGGAAATTTAAAATGGACAACTAGATAATATGTCAGTTGCAGCTTTGTTAGAAATGTAGGGCATATATGGTACATTTGTATATCTATGAAGTGATTTTAAAATCAAGCTTTTAACAAAGGGCATGGATGACTAATTTCAAAATCCTAGGGGCTATTTCTAAATTATCTGTGATGAATATTTGCTGCTCAGGAAAGCAACTTCTTTTCCTTTTTAATGTTTTCACTTCTTTTATGTATTGCTTAGCTATGTGATTGTCTTCCCTCCCCATATATATTGTTCATTAAAGCCCCTAATATTATTATCTCAATTTGTTTTTGTTGAAGTTACTCGAAGGCTGCATAACCTATTCCGCATCAACCTTGCAGTTGGTAAGTATGCACCCTCATCCTCAACCTTATTCTTTCTTGTTTTCCGAATAGGTAAGTATTACTGATGCCAGGAAAAACAGGACTAAAAAGTGTTGTGATTATAACCAAAAACAAAAACAGAAGTGAGGACAACCCTGACTAGGTGACTATCTATACAATAGTTTCTATCAACTGTAACAGTGATTCTGAATCTTCAATGCTTCCACTTTACACCAAAATGAAATCATAAGAACTCAGTCAGATATGATCGTCCAGATTGAGCTTCTCTGGTTTTCAAAGCGTCTTTTGTCCTTTGATCCATATATACGACCAAATAGCTGCTGGTATGTTCCAAGTCTTCTTAAAATGTTTTGGCAGCCTTTGCTTTTCCAGCAAAGAAGGAATTCTATTGTTGATCTTGGCATACCTGTGAAGTAATAACTAATATGGCAATGTATAAAAAAGGCGGTTGATGCCTTCAGAACTATTCCTACAGAGATACCATCTATTAATAAGTTTTATGCCTCTCTTTTGTAAATTTTCCCGAGTTAGACAAGCCTTCTTGGCAACCAACCATACAAAGCACATAACTTCAACAGGAGCTTTAGAATTCCAGATCTGCTTTCAAGAGTTTTGTGCTGACCAGTGACCGGTTCATCTCATTCATAAACAGATGTAGCATGCCTCAACAGTGAAGATACCATCAGTTTTCCCTTTCCAAAAAGTCTGATCCTCGCTGTTGTTTAAACCTTTAAAATCAGAGAGCATACTCAACCTTATCCTAGAGGACAGGGAGCTGTCTTTCTCATGTTCTTGCCTTTTACTCTTACCTATTGGCCACCAACAATATCTGTCTGTCTGGTGTCGGTTTTCTGTAAATTCTCAAATGCTAAGCAGTTGATGGATGCCTGTCAAGTGCTCAATTTATTCACATATTTAGCTTTTTAAAATGGAAAAATTCTTAAGTATTGCCAGAAGTAAAAGCTAAACGAAGAATTCAATGGTTGACTAGCCAGATTTATGTAAGGTCTGCGTACACTTTACCCTCCCCAGACCCCACTTTGTGGGATTTCACTGGGTATGTTGTTGTTTGTTTGTTGTCTTTCCTCTTTTTAACTAGTTGTTAGTTATTAGCTTTCTGATTAATGGTTTGACATTTCCAGAAGCAACCTAATAGCCTTTAGCCCTTTACATGTATAGAGAAAAACAGATGGACATTCTTATTTCAAGGGCTTTTGCAACTCTGGAAACTTGTAAACTCTGTCTTGCACTATATATGTCCAGTTTATGATAGGCCTACCAATCTTTGTATTTAGGATACTTGGTTCAAGAAACTCATTAGGCCTCAAGTTAGTAAGAGAGCTCTTGATTTCTGCTTCGAAACAGAGAACATTTTCAGTTGCTTTTCCCTAGTGTATTGCTTAGTTTTTCAAACTCTTCTATCTCCAGGTGCTGGTTGGTTCTATGGCAAGTGGAGATTTGCCAAGTCTTTGGATTCAGGTGTTGAACTTATTCTCTCTCAGCATGGAACTCGTCTGCAAAAGGAGTTGGGGGAAATGTAGGTCCTCAAACACACTACTCTATTTTTTTTTTGTTTTTGGGCTAAATAAATGAGGTGATTTTTACCCCTAAAGATGAAGTGCTACACAGTCTGAATGCATTCATGACTTAGTACAATGAAACTTAACCTTGAGCACTCCCAAATAATCTTACTTGCGCTACTTTACATTGAAGTTCTATTTTCTTTTTGTTTTTCCGAAAATGCATCCTCTTTCATTGATAAACTTTTCGTGGCTAGGTTCACTATCCAACAAATAGAATTAAAAAGAGATCAGGAATACTTTAATTAATTTAAGCAATGCCCTTGGAAGGGGATCTTAAATACTTTTCAACATCTTATTCTCGAAAAGCAACAAAGGGCCTTGGGGGTGGGGTGGTGTTAGTAAGATTTGCAAGATTAATACTTTCCTGAATTTAATTGGTTAAAATCATTTCCTCCTCCAACTTTACTTTGAAAATCAAACACCTAAACAAACTTTGAACAATGACATCCTTCTAAGTTTGATCAGTTGGCCTGATTGTTCTAACAGGTTATTACTCGTCACATTAGTTTTAGAGTGAGGTACCATGTGAAAATGGGGAACTATAATTAATATAAATGATAATCCTTTATGACAGCTACCTCTATAGCCCAGGGAGCAAATTCAAGAATTTCAAACTGCTTTGTAGTTCTAGATATTTGAATGAGAAAGATGCTAAACCTTTGACAAGGACTAAATATGTCATACTGTTCCCATTTGATAAATAATTGAATTCTCAAAATCTTAATCCTTGGGTGCTTTGTACATGATAACTTGCACCGTAGGAATTTAAACGACTTAAGTACCACATCTTTATCTCTCTGAGCTATTTTGCTGGATTCAACTTGCAGTAGGAACATGTTGACTGATCAGTTATGCTATGTTTATACTCTCTGATTTTTATTCTTCTTTTGGTACTTTCCTTGTCTTCAGTTAGAATAAGAATGACTGAGAAGTGTGAAAAGTTTTGCTTGATGTACCTTAGAGAGCAAGAAATTGTCACCGGCTCACCGCAAGAGTATTAAACTTTAAAATATGTCGTAGTCTAGAGTACTCTAGATAGCAAGAAATTGTCCTCACTGTGAGAGTGTTTAACATTGAAGTATACTATTGTCTAGAGAATGATCTGAGTTTCTTACTTCAATTCAAATATATACATTCATGTATTTCCACCAAGTATAGAAATCTGTGCACACTTGTCATGGAAAAATACAGAATAGCGTGCATGGCAATACATAATGTGAAGGAAATATACGAAGCATCACTATATCTCATTCATGTTTTAAATTGACGGAATGTCAGATGATTGGACTAATAAAAATGAGCGCTATATTATCACTTCATGTTTGAAGCCTAGTCCTCTACATATGCTTGGTCTGCATTTCTTAAATCTGGTTGGAGACTCAAATCTGTTCACTTTCTTGGAAAGGAAAACAACAAATGAAAATAGAGTAATTTATGGCAAAAGAATATACACACACAAAGTTTAACATAGAAAAATGGAAGTAGTGGGCATTCAGTCAAAAGCTAGAAAGAGTAGATTGTTCATTTGTATGCCTCAAGGCTTGATTTATTTCTTTCATAGTATTGCCTCATGTCAGGCTTGACTGCATATCTAGGCTCTCTTCGAATATATGAATCTGGTGTAAGTGAATTTTATGCATCTTTAAACCATACTACTAAAATATTGAATTAATGGAAAACTCGTTGCACAAAATAGGTATCCTGGTGTAGGCATACAGTTATACTGGTGAAGGGTGTGGGAGAGACCTGGCTAATCCAAGGAAACCTTATTATATTCCGAGTCTTCAACTACCGATAACAAGAGCACTTCATAGTTGTGTAGTTCAAACAATGAAAACAAAACGAAAATAATTCAAGACATATATTCCTCAAAAGGGAAAGATCTCAATAATTCTTTAAAATAAAGCTTTGATACTCGTTAAATTTTTATGAATCTTGTCATCATACTTCCTTATGTTAATAGTATCACGGTTATTTCTTTCTTTTCATTATGTATGAACTACTGATGTACTATTCTATCAAGATTGAAATTGAAGTATCAGCATGATTCATTTTAACTATGTATTGATGTAGTATTTTGTCGTGATAGAATGTTGAAGAAGTACCAGCATAATCCGCCTGTACTGCAGTTCGTCTCCAAATACTTTTACTCTGAAAATGTTTATGATGATGATTCAACAGACAAGCCAAAACCGAGGTGGCGTTTTCGAAGTACCTATGGGGAAATTTTTTTCTTCTCACGAGGTAGAAGGTGATGACTCTTCCAGTAAGAAATCCCATTCAGAGAATACTAATCTGAGGAAAACTAATCTTGAGAGAAAGCAAATTAATGTGAGCACTCTGCTTCTTTTATATATAATATTGAAGATGATCAATGGATACTGAGGCCTGGGGATCTTTCCGTTGTGCAACGTCGTAGTAGGAATTACATAAAATCACCAAATTTATGCACTGCCCTCTGGCAGGGCAGTAGAGTAAATTGGGGGCTCTCTTCTGTGTATATAAGAGCGTAAAAAGTCATTGCTACCATTGTCAATCAGAAACAAATCCGTTTTAGTCTGTCATATTGCAGTATAATTTATAGCAGAATAAGTTAAGTTGCTTTTACAAGGCTGTGTATTGAAAATTGTAGATGAATGGTGTTGGTGCTGCTGTTGCTCTAGAGTCAACCGAAGACCCATTTGATTGCATACTCGGACATCAAGGGAACACCGAAGAGATTCACCACCTTGATGCCTCTAGCCCGCTGCCTAAAAGGCGGAGTCATAGCACCAGACGGTCTCATAGCAGGCGTCGGATGCATCGCCACGAGAACATGGAAGGTTGAGCTTCTAATTGACCTACCATGATCAATGCAAGATTGAACTGATCTGTCCTTTGGAGATCAGTCTTGCATAGCCCTGTTAAATGTTATCTGCTGCAAAATCTATGCTTTGAAACTGGCATTACCTAAGAGCTGGTTGTATATAGTTATGGGCTTATGGCTCAGTGGCTTTTGTGATCATTAACTTATTTAATAGAAATTGTTTATGGATTAATTTAATGGGTAGCCAGCATAAATTATAATATAGGATGCAATGCAATGTTCACATAATTTAGTTGTCAATTCGAAGCATTTTATATCCAGTGTTGTACAAATATTTTCATTGTTTTTAGTATCCCATATCTGAAAGTGCTCTAGCGATCTACCTTTTGATCTCCTGCAAAATACGAGACACAACAACATTCTCAGTGTAATTACACAAGGAGGATTCGGGGAGGATAGTGTATACGGAGATTTTTACCCCTACTTTAAGAGGTAGCAAAGTCGATTCTCTGCTCGTTAGCAAGTGCCTTGGGCCTTGCCTCTCTTTTCCAACAATCTCAGCCGAGTGTTTCATTCCTCTTCTTTTGGGCGAGCTACTTTTTTTCAGCCTTTTTCTTTTTATTTTGTAATACTTTCGGCTTGAATTCTATTCATTTAAGTTTGCAACCCTTCTCGACTTGTCTTTCCAGACTCATTCCCTTTCTCTTTTGAAACTATCTTAGTTCAAGCATTGGTCAGCAGACTCACCTCCAACTATATTTCCGAAATGTACTCAGAAAGCACATGTTCAAGCCCAGCTCGTGAAAAGGTTTTTGCTATTTAAGGAGGATAAGCTTTCTCTATCTCCATAACTCTAATTGTAACATGATCTGGAAACGTGTTCAGTTCAGTAAGAAAAATTAATAGTCCTTCCACTCAAGAAAAAGCATAACAAAATAATTCAAAAAAAGAAGTAATAAGAGAAGAAGTCATAACAAGTTATTATGATAAAGATGCAATATGTAGGGTAGTAGTGTGATCTTTATTGAAACCATTGGGTTTAACTTTTTCTCATTCTAGAAAATACACGTATTATATATCTATCTTTATCCTGAATATTAGGAGTGACAAACGGACGAGTCGAATGAGCTAACTTATATTGTATCTAATTTCATTTACTTTTTATATTTTTTTCTTCTTTCTTCTTCTCCTCCTTCTTTCTGGCTGTTACCCAACTCCAAGAAATCCAAATCCATATTTGCAGAGGCAATATGTAATTGAATATATATTACTATATATATACATAGGTATATACATACCATCTTTATATATTCAATTACATCTACATTTTTATTTCTCATTCTTTTTTTTTCATTTTCAACAATTTTTCATCAAGAATTGGTATTATTGGGATTTTTTGTACCCAACAAATTTTATAGCATGAGGGTTCATCCTATGTCCCTGAAACGAAACATTGCCATTCGTGAAGGAATCGGTTCGGGTTCAGATTCGGATTCGGAGCAGCGGGAACAAATTTTAGCAGCAATGGAAGGGAATCCAATGAAGAAGCTACGAAAATTACCTCATGTATTCGGGAAGGTTCTAGAACTTCCGTTTCGTTCCGATGCTGACGTGGCGGTTGAGGAAGGTCCGGAATTCTTCCGTTTCGTGGCGGTGATGGAATTTGACGACGGCGGAAGCGGCGGAGCGGGAGGTGTTAGGGTGCAGGCGGTTGAGATTCATACTGGGATTACCAAGATTGTGGTGAGAAATGGCGCCGGAGATGGCGGAGTTGCTGGCGGAATAGAGGAGCTATTGTTGGAAGAGCTGAAGGTGGATACGTGGAGGTTCAGGTTGCCGGCTACGACAATGCCGGAGCTGGCTACGGCGGTGTTTGTGGACGGTGAGTTAATTGTGACGGTGCCAAAAGCTGGCCGTGGCGGTGGAGAGTTCGCCGACGGTAGAGATGTTTGGGGTGGCGGTGCCCGGCTTGTTCTTGTACAGTAACCAGAAAATAAAAGGAAAGAGAATCATTAATTAATATTATAAAATCAGAATTTCTTTATTCTCCAGAAATAATATACTAAATAAAATAATAATAATTGTTGTACATTATGGTTGACTCGGGGAACTTTATTCTCCATGTAAATTGTAATAATTCTACTAATATGCTAATATTTGACTTTTTTCAGTTGTTTAAAAAACTGTTTTCTCTCTTGATTCTAAAAAACTCTTGTACATTAACTTTTTCATTTGTCTCACTGCACGCATACCTTACTCCCTACAAAATTGTGAAGGTTGTAAAAACATTTTATAGTATTTGACACATTAGCTTTTCATTTGTGTCAGTATACCCAAACCTTACCCCTACTTCGTGAAGGTAAACAAAAAACAAGAAGCAATAGCGATAGCAAAATAATGCAACAATAGAAGCACATAAATTTGTCACGCTAATATATCACTAAGGTAATGCTCCCCTTTTCATATGAGAAATTGGGTGGGAAAGAACGTTATTTTTCAAAAGAAAAAAGCTCATTTTGCACTCCCAACTTCTGAAAAATCTAGATAAGTCTGATTTCATGAAAATGTTCACATATAGAAGACTTAATTCGACAGTCACAACTTACAACGACATACTCCGCTCGGAACAAAACTTTGGCATAAGACCTGCCAGACATATATTTGTTGTAAGATACAATGTGCGGAGCTTTGGCATAAGACTGCCAAACATTACAGATACAATGTGCAAAGTTTTGGCATGACTGCCAAACATGTATTTGTAAAGATACGGTGCAGAGCTTTGCTTTAAGAAGATTCTGCTTCTAGACCAAAGTAGTCCTTGAGTATTGTCTTAGAAGTACTTCCAAATCCATTTTGTACCTGTTTCATATCCTTGAGTTTCAATACTTCTCGCTTTATTTGGTCTACTCTTTGTAGAACAGCATCAACTAAGGTATCTGTTTCAACCATCGTTGTATGGCTTGATAGATCAGATCTTTCCTTGTCGAGCTGTTCATATAGATTCATGATGTAGTTCTTTTGAACAAGGAGTCTTTCCTCAGCAAGTCTGTACTCAAAGTTTTGAGACTTCCTCAATGCCTGCAGAGTTTGATCAATTTCATCCTCAAGCTTAAGGGATTCAACTCGATGGTCAAAATTTGAAGTCATCTTTGGTGGTGAAGATCTTTCGCGAAGAATTGACTCTCCATGATGAGGTGTTCCTCCTATCATCAAAAGAAAGTCGCGTACGTTCAGGCTTTAAAGAGATATTACATAGAATGAAGCTTTGCAAGGAAGAGAGATATTCAAACAGAAAGCTCTTGAACATAGTTACTGCATTGACTAAATATGCTCTTATAATGATCAGATAAATATCAGTATATACACAAACATACAAGAGATACAGAAAAGAAAAGGAAATTTAAGATGAAAATACATTTCACACATCGCAAAACTCCTTCCTGTACATTGTGACAGAAGAATAAGACCTTGAAGGTACTCGTGACTCCTAAACGGTGAGTCATGCACATCGTTCTTGCTACAAAATGAGTAAAATCAAGATGGACTAGAAGAATGTAAAGAAGAACCTAAGAGTAACTAATATACAGATAAACCTGCAGTAGGTGTGGTGTAGTTGGACGCATTGTCACTTCCATTAGGCAACATTTTGGTTAGGGTACCACACTACCACTACATGGTAAATATAACTGGAAACAGGATTTATTTATTAACAAGAAGATGTTATGAATTAATATGTTAGTTATAAATATCAGGAATAAATTTATCTAGTATAAGAAAATAATCACTGAATCTGACTGATAAAAATTCACTGGTTTAAATAAGAAACTAAACCTAGTAATTAGATCCATAAGAAGCTCCAATCTTTTAAGATCTAAAACATCCTAAATGACGTCAGAAACCAAGCATGTGATGAACTGAAAGGAATCTAGACGTATTAACTGACCTAGGATTCTGAAATACAAAATAGAGAATCCAGTAAATTCAACCTACCGCCAACATCATTAAGACATGGTTGCACTTCAAGCTCAACAAAAAAATCTCAAGCACAAAATAAATAGTCAATACGAGCACGACTATGGGTTCCCACCAATATCATGCCAAGAGACATTGGGTGTCAATGGGAGGTCTCAAATGGAAACCAAGTCCATTTGAGGAAGGATTTGGAAACCAACCTCAGAGCAATTCAGGATGTCCATAACTTGTGAACTTATGACCGCACACCATACCATCAACCACACACACCAGTGTCTGCATTGAGTAGTTCATGGGACCGGATATCTTTCACCCATAATCCGGAGAGCTTCTTATTATCTTGTTTCGAGACCCATTTCATGTATTAACCTACGTGTTTGCTTAGCTACCCTAGACTATAAATAGATGTTTATAGCTTAAAAAGGAGGGAATTGAATATTATTGATGACCTTGAAGCTTTACCAAGAATATCACCTAGTGAGTTGAGAAGACTGTCAGGTCCCTAAGGAAGTGGGGAGAACTTGGAGTGAGATAACCCTTACTTTTCTTGATGAAGTTCATTCATGGTTACCATTGCGGATCTCCTTGCTGGAACTGTACTCTTTTTATTACTATGACAAATCTAATATTATTAGTGCTTGATGTTCATTCGTACAGTTGGGATTGCTAATAAATGGGAGACTCAAGTTTGATTTCCTTCTTAATTCTTAGAAGCTTACTCCAGATACCTAAGCAGTTTCACCTGAGAACCACAAAAACCTACACTGCATCATATTATGGAGGTAAAAAGTTGAATTCTATGACGTCGTAGACAGCATTGTGCCTCCCATTTACTCTTGTAATTCACTAATACAGCATCACTATATTCTTTTTGATTGGTCCCTAACAGATTGATGCCTTTCTGTTTGGGGTGGTTATACTAAATTTTATGGACATATTCTATCTCCTTCATCTGGTTAGAAGCAGCGGGATAGACTTGACAAACGGTTTCTACCCCAAAATAATTCCTCTTCAGCCTGATTCAGAGGCTCTCCTAAATTGATTTCATGCAGAAGACTCTTGGTCGATAATTTTCTGTTCATATTATGCTTCAGTTGCAAGATATGCCTTTGGAATTTGTGAACAAATGTAGAGTACAGAAATAGCTAACACAGACAGTGCATGCATGTCCGTATACATATATATTCGTGCATTTATAAAAATTCAAATTGAATACCCGAGAAGGTTTTACACACATAAGCAGATTTCTCGACCAAGTATATGCATGAGCCAAAGGGAAACAGTGACATAAGAATTGAAAGGACAGGAGGTACCATTGGCGTCCATGAATTCTACTTCTTTGAACACATCTCCAATGCAAGCACCCTTCTGAAGCTGATACAAGATATTATAGAGGTCATTCCAGAAAATTGGAAACCACATAAAAGCACCACTAGATACCTTGAGGAAACAAAGTACCATTCATCTACCTCTAAGTCAGCTATACCTTTGCCATGGCCGATTTAATGTGACGCAGCAACTGTTTTGCATTTGTTTTCCGTGAGCCACGTAGAATGCAAAAGCCAACATTCAAAATCTTCTCTATGTCATCACGAGAATCAATTGATCCACAAATTTTTAGAAGCTTCATGACATGTGAGACCAATTCAGTTCTTGAATCACAGCGCCGACAACAATACTCCGCATCCAGACCGATGCTTCCTCCAACTGTCCCAGCCATATAAGCTCGTAGAGCACAGTCTATATGGGCTATGTGTCCGCAAATGTAACCATCATCAGCTGTTGCTTCGCACCTAATGTAACTATACCCACCATAAGCAGAACTAATAGTTTTACAACAAAGAATACAACAACAATCTCGGCAAAAACCAGGCTCACTGCAACAAATGTCACAAAACATGGTCTCTGGACTAGGATTCCCTGCTTCTATTAAACTCGCACTCGCACACAAGCTATTACCAGCCTTACAACTAATGGTTCCTAAGTGAGAATCAGATTTCATGCCTGAAGATGTGAGCTCAGCATACCAGTTACCTACAATTTTCAGACAAGACAAATGTGAAATCAGGTAACAAGTAACTCGCTTAAGCACAACAAGAAACACTAAAAGATTTGCAAGCAACTGACAGCAAGCAAATTTACAATCATAGAGACAACTCACTCGAAATGAGAATTTTACAAACCTCTTCTTTCTTTCTTGAACTCCGTATCCAAACAAACACTGTTACGTAAATTGAAACAAATGGAGTATTGATAGTTATTTCATTGATATATACATTTTCACACATAGCCTCTAAAAAAAATCAGGTATTCTTAAATTGGTGTTATGGCGTTAAAGTTAAAAAATATATATATATAAATAGGTTCCCCAATATGGTGGAAGAGAGCTCAGCAAAGAGCATGCACGGAACAAAGTCAGTTACATATGCAGAGCCCAGAGCCTAAGATCAGTAATTTCGGAAAGGTGCTCCTAATTGCACACGTTTTCCATGAAAGTGTTGCATCCGAGTGAGCCATGTCTAAAAGTTTCTCACTAATACCAAAATAGAAGAAAATTCAATGTACTAAATGACAAAAGTTGTATCCAATCTAACCTTTTAATAGTTTTGAGGGAATCTTCCAACTAAATGAGGCAAAGAATTCATTGATATCTGTGCTTGGAAACTCAGACCTGACATATTGTTCAACCGAAAGCCTACTTGCGAAAACACTTCGCTTTCCACGAAGACGGTTTGGAAGATACAGATATCTATCAAGAAAGTAGCCAGCAGATGCAATTCTTTTCCCCACCTTCCAGGCCCATTTATCACCTGGGTTTGGCCAATCTGCAGGAGCATATGGTAAACCTTCGCCTGAATCATTGGCAGAAACAGGATAAAGGTGAAGTCCATTTTTATTGGTACTAGGTGTATCTCCATTACATTCAGCAGAACTGTCAACCACCACAGGATCCTCGTAGGATGACATGTAGCTAGATGTTTTAACTGTGTAGATAGCCGAAGAAAAGAATATATAT